CCAAACCAGCGCCCTCACAGCAAGCATGGTTGGTTTAGTGGTATAATCGCCGCCTGCCACGCGTGGACCCGGGTTCGATTCCCGGACCATGCATCTCTTTTTGCAGTTTTGGTTTCAGAGTCGTTTGGGCTTGCGCTCAACCACTTTTAGAACACTCCATCATCATGTCTTCGTGGTGTAGTTGGTTATCACGTCTGTCTAACACACAGACGGTCTCCAGTTCGAACCTGGACGAAGACACTTTTTTTTTTTTTGTTTCTGCTGGTTTGGGGGACTGGAAGCAGCTGGGAGGGCTGGCTGCCCATCCCTCCCTCCCTCGCCTTGACACAAACACCTTTTTGACCACGCACGTCGTTTTTTTCATGGATCGCTCATTGTGCCCTTGCCCTTATTGACCTCATTTGTTTCATTTTCTGATGTGGCCTGTCTTCTCCACTGTCCAGCCACATGCACTATGACCTGTGTGCATGCATGAGCAATATGGGCTGTAATGTCATGGTCATTAACATGTCCAATGAACTTGATGGTCCTGGCATGATCCCTCACCTTTTGCTGCACTGCACGCATCACCAGCAAGTCCTACAGTGCGACTTGCAATCCAAGGTCCTGCTTGAGGCCATGCAGAACCAAACGCCTGATAATCTCATGATCAACAAGATTTCTGACCAATGTGAAGTCACAGAAGCACAGTTGGTTGTGACAAATATCCAGTGCGTGGTCGTGACTGCACACAGGTTGCTCAAGTTGGTGCTGTGCAACTGCAGCTTGTGCAATCTGGTCAGCAGGCTTGTCACAGCCACTGTCAGTGATGAAAAGGCGCAGCTGATGGGTGGGCGCAAAACGGTCATGCGCGCGCCAATGACGCCACGTTCGTGACCATTGTCGAGCTTGTGTCGCACACAGAAGTGCGTGTGCTTCAGAACGTGAACCAGACAGTCGACAATCTGTTTGTGCACCCAAAGCACACACTGTGGCTCAAGTGGTGGTGGTTGCCTGGCGTATTTCTGGGTCGTGCGCAAGCCGAACGAGGGCGGCAAGACGGATTTTTCTGTGCAGACATTGATGCGCTCATGTTTGCTTTGATTCGCGTCGCTCTGCTCTGTTTTCATTCTTGCTGCTTCACTTCATCCTGTTTTCGTTTTCTTATGCTGCTCGCCGTGCTGCGCCACAGCACCTGTTCATAGCCACATTTCAACGTAGCATGCTTCAACCATTGTCGTCTATCGTGCTCTGCAACGGTTGCGCTCGCGGTCGCAAGCTATTTATTTGATGGGAATCGACCGAAACGAAGAAAACCAGGCGCCTTTGCGCGCTCGCGTGTTCAGCGTGCTTTCGGCGTGACAGCGCGGCTCCGTTCGTGCAAAACCACTTTTGTTGCTGCCACATCGTCGCTTCCACCGGTTGCACGGCCGTCCAACGACACTCGGTCCCACGCTGGCAACGCGAACTTTGCTGCACTGTGAATCTGCAACGCTTCTCCAAGGCCAATTTCCCGAATCCGCGCCAGCCCGGTTGCGAACCCGCCGCCGAACAAATTACTCCTCCGGGCCAAACCTTCGGCCCGGCGGCCGGGCCCTCCCATTCCCTCCCAACTTGGGCCCGTGCGCCAAGTGACCCGACCACTTTCTTCCCCTCAAGATGCGCGTCGTCATCAAGGGCGGTGTGTGGAAAAACACTGAGGACGAGATTCTCAAGGTGGCCGTGATGAAGTACGGCAAGAACCAGTGGGCGCGGATCTCGTCGCTTCTGACGCGCAAGACGCCCAAGCAATGTAAGGCGCGCTGGTACGAGTGGCTCGACCCGTCGATCAAGAAGACCGAGTGGTCCAAGGACGAGGACGAGAAGCTGCTGCATCTCGCCAAGCTCATGCCCACGCAATGGCGCACGATCGCGCCGATTGTCGGCCGCACGCCCGCGCAGTGCCTCGACCGGTACCAGAAACTGCTCGATGACGCCGAGCGCGACCTGGCCGCCGGTTCCTCGTCGGGCGCCGCCAGCGGGACCGCGAACCCGGACGAGAACCCGGAGGCACAGCCGCCGATTGACGACGTGCGCCGTCTGCGCCCGGGCGAGATTGACCCGGACCCGGAGACCAAGCCGGCGCGCCCGGACCCGGTCGACATGGACGAGGACGAAAAGGAGATGTTGTCCGAGGCGCGCGCGCGTTTGGCCAACACGCAGGGCAAGAAGGCAAAGCGCAAGGCGCGCGAGCGGCAGCTCGAGGAGTCACGGTGATAATGCGGCACTGCAAAAGCGCCGCGAACTCAAGGCGGCCGGGATCGTTGTCGGCAAGCCGCGCGCGCGGAAAGATGCCGACGACATGGACTACAACACGGACATTCCGTTCCAGCGCGCGCCGATGCCTGGGTTCTACGATACGGCCGCCGAGCTCAACAAGCCGTCGGGCCAGTCGTTGGGCGACGTGCTCTTGTCGCAGCTCGAGGGCAAGCGCAAGGCCGAGCGTGAGGCCGATGCGCGCAAGCGCGATGCCAAGAAGCGCAAGTTGCGCGAGGAGCGCGAGGGTGTCGCGTTTGTCGCTGCAGGCACCAAGGCCGCGACGATTTTCGACACGGAAAAGACAACAAAGCGCGCCCCGCTGCACTTGCCAGCGCCGCAAGTCACGACCGAGGAAATCGAGCGGCTCGCGAAAATGGGCGCGACGGCGGTACCCGTCGACGTCGACATGAGCGGGCCCGAGTCGGACTTGGTCTCCGAGTACGCCATGACCCCCGTGCGCATGCCGCAGCGCACGCCGCGCATGGCCGTTGTCGACTCGGTCCGGCAACAGGCGCGCTCGCTCGTGCAGGCGCGCGACCTCAACACGCCGCTGCTCGGCGAAGTGCAGCCTGAGCACCAACTCGAGCCTGCTACGTCGATTTTGCCGCCGTCACAGACGCCGCGGCCAGGGGTGCCCATGACGCCGTCGGTGGCCGCGACGCCACGCACCTCGGCGAGCGCCACGCCTTACCGCGACCGGATGGGCATCAACACGCCGAGCCATGTCGGGTCAGGGCTCGACACGCCGCGCGACGCGCGACACTACCTGCGCGCACGGAACCAGCTCAAGCAGGCGCTGCTCTCGCTGCCCAAGCCGAAAAACGATTTCCAGATTGTCGTGCCCGACTCGTCGGCGAGCGAGGCCGAGTCGGCGGCGGCGGGAGTGCGTGGTGGGCGCCGTGCGGATCGCAGCGACCTCGAAAAGGCCGACCTCGCAGCAGCAGCGCAGGAAGCCGAGGCCGCACAGCAACTACGTTCCCAAGCGGTCGCGCGGAACCTTCCAAGGCCCATGTACCTGCCCACGCTCGACGCGTTGCTGGAGGCCTCGCTCTACCCGCCGTCGTCGGCGCTGTTTGCGGCTGAGATGCTCGTGGTGCGCGAAATGATCGCACTTCTCGCGCGCGATGCTCTTGAATACCCCGTCGCCGGCGCCCCACCCGTCGAGCCCATCGAGTACGCGGATGTGACCGTGGCGCAACTCGCGGCCGCGCGCGACCTGATCGACGCGCATCTGCTTGCCGATCACCCGCTCGTGCCCATCCCGGACGCATCCGACCTCGTCCTCGACGCGCGCACGGGCCTCGTCTACGCCGCTCGCGACGTTGAGAATTGGGCGGTAGTGCACTCTGCCGCGCACGCGGCCGTAGCCGAGGCCGCGACGCGTGCGGCCAAGGTGGAGAAGCGCGCGACCGTGACGCTCGGAGGGTACATGGCGCGCGCACAGGCCCTGGCGACCAAATTGCAGCAGAGTACAGAGGCGCTGCACCGGTACGTGGACGATCTCGCGGCGGTGCAGGCGTTGCGAGTGGATGAGACGCGCGCGATTCCGATCCGGTTGCAAGAAGCCGACCAGGAGGTGCTCGAAGCCAAGCGCGAGCAGCGCGAGTTGCAAGCGCGGTACCAGGAGCTGATGGCCGAGTGGATGCAGCTTGGCGGAGGGCAGTAGGTGGAGTGTGGAGTGGGCTGAGAGGGTGTGTTTGATTCAGTCCGAACATTACATTCCGGTTTACGGCTTTTGGATTTGTGATGGCCCTGCTTTCGATTCAACGAGATGGCCCTGCTTTCGATTCAACGAGTAAGGAACGGTCATGCCGCCACCCCAACAGTAACGCGCAAGGCAGGAAGGAGCGCCGTGCTGGATGACA